TTCAGCTCCTCCTGCCAGGGTGGGAAGGAGCAGCACATCTCTCCTTGAAAAGTCAGGGTGAAACCCCCGCCAAAGCTGGCCCCTGGGCAGTTACGTGACATTTCCTTGGGAAAGGAAACCGGTTTGTCACCTCTTGCTTAATGGTGTCACCTCAAGGCAGAACTGAGGAGGACCTATGGGCACGAGAGAGGAGATTGCATTATTAACACTATATTCATCTTGTTCTGAAGATCATAGAATCATAGGAAAGCTTGGGTTGAAAAAGACCTTAAAGATCACCTAGTTTCAATATATTCTATTTTCCAGCATCAAAATGTGATACATTAAAAATGTGGTGAGAGTCTCACATAAATATTAATTTATAGATTGTCCTACCAAAGAAAATAATGCATCTTCCTGATTTCTCTTAGAAGATACAACAGCTCCAAAGTAGCTGAGAGCTGTCATCATCCATGACCCCTTGGGCTGAGAGCTGTATGAAAACATAGAAAAAGTGCTCTTAATCCAGAATAATATAAACTACAGATGAAGTATGTGTGAATACTTTTGTGTGAGGTGATTGTATGTATGTACTCTGCAAAATGCATTTTGGGTGTAGTTGAGAATAGGAGCGTACACAATTCAAAGTTACCAGGAATAGTAAGGTAATAATAAAGCAGGTGGGAAGGGCACAGAATAGACAAATTGTAGATAAAGGTAGGAAAAAAGGAAAGGTGATAGATGTGGACACAGCTAAGAGGATGACAGGTGTGACAGGCTGGAGCAGGTAGGACAAATCCAAAATGCCTCTCTGGCATCTGTTTTTCCACAGTGGTGTTACAGTTCTTTTTCTACTGCTACTACAAATGCAGCACTGAAGTCCTCCTGATTAGTTTTCCCCCCCTGTGTAAGATGTCCTTTACGCTGTGATGAGATCATTTGTGTATTATTTAATTTTAATCTTTTCAGAAGGAATCCAGGAACTGTGGTGAGGTCATGGCTGCAGTAATGTCTAAAAGGATGGTTTTATAGAGGAGGACAGAAATATTCCTCTCATTTAGCAAAGCTGTAACAGAATTTGTGGCTCTCAAGTGCATTGGACAAGTTAAGTTTTGGGTTTTTTTCTGTTGTGTGTTTGCAAAGGACAGCCTGCTTCATACTCTTGTTTTTTCCCTAAGTATTGGATAAGTCTAATAAAGGTTGCAGACAAAGCATCCTGTTAGAACTCCACCTGAACAATCCTCTAGGATCATCCCAACCCATGGCACCTCCCAGTCTTACCATGAAGAGCAGGGTAAAAATACCCAGACTTCTCTGATGGCCTGAGTGTCCTCACATCAGACCTTCTGCACCACTGAGAAGGCAGATACCTCACTGAAAACATTCTTGTTCCCATCACTTTCAAGGAGAAAAATCCTTGGAGCATCCCCCAGGGCCATGGTATCACACTTTAATAAGATATATTTGTGCTTCATGGGTCAACGGGGCAATGTCAGGCATGAATTTGGACCGTGACATTTCGGGCAACGACCCAAAAATAAAAGTGCCAAAATTTCACTGTTACTCTGATTTTCACCTCCAGTCTTTTCCACTCTCTGTGGACGTGACAAGACTTAATGATATAATTCTGAAAGGTCTCTGTATGTATTTAGTACTGGAAAGAGACATGTAGACAGATGGAATCATGTGCCTTGCTTTGCCATAGCAAATATATTATATTTTAATGTGTTCTAATGAACTTTAAAATTACTCCCCAGCATGCATTGGTCAGAGGGGTTATTCCGAATGTGCCATCTTCCTTGAGATCATTCCCTCTGGATCTGCTGGATCAACAACAGAGTGGTGATAACAAATACACTGCTGCTTGAACCCAGCACTGTGCTTTCCCCCTCTTTGCTAAGTGAATTTGTGCATACCAAGAGTTACACTGCTCCTCTTTTAGCAACTTCAGGGCATTAGTCATGTGCTCAAAACCAGTTCCCCTTTCATATCTAGAGACCAAACGTCTTGGATGATCCATGGGACAAAGAAGGCACCACAGGCTTAGTTTTGCTCCAGGGGATTGGGAGATTTAGCTACCCAGAGAGGAGTGGGAGATTAATGGTGCTCGTTGATGGTGACAGGGACCTGTGTGCTCTAAATCCCATCACAAGCAGAGAAGAACCCACCTCTACACACTACTAATATGCATAACTATGGAAAGTTTTAAATAAAAAAGACTAATTAATAATGCTTAGTGGTCTAGGTGTCTAAGTATGAATTGTCAGGGATTTCTGCAGGCTTAGGGAGGTGGGGAAATGGGTTAACATCACATTGTTTCAAATTACAGGGTTTTAGATTGCTTCAAACGAGAAGCAGAGAGGGTTTCCACGCCAGATTTGAGACGTTTGCTCTCTTTTATTTGTACTCAAATTTCGGCTTCAGCTCACACAGTCATTCTACCCAGGCTGCTTCCCAGACCAGCTAATTTGTCTACCTGTGCTCCATTTTAGGCCTTGGTTTTAATTTGAGGATGATTCCTGCTAATACCAAAGACTGGATAGGACATCCATTAAAAGTCTACACAGCAATTGAAATGGAAAATTCCAAAAGAAACCCTATTAGAGTTTTTCTCCATCAAATCAACATTACAGACTTCTTATGCATTTCTTAATTAGACATTGATATTAACTGGACTGTTGCATGATTTAAATCTAGCTCTTAATCTCAGCTATTCTATGCTGCTGTAGTTTTTATGACATCCAACTAGCGACTGCTTTATGCATTAATCTATCTGGAAAACCACCTTCACTTTTTTTTGTCTTTTTTTAGAAGAATAAAGGCCCCAAGAAGGAAATGAAAGCTTTTGGGTTCAGCCATTAGTAATTTTCTGCTTAGTATTTGAAAAATTGCTTATTTTAATTGCTTCATAGAAGAAAAAGATATCAAAGCTAACGTTCTTTCTCTCCAAACTTTGTAATTATTTCTCTCAGACTCTTATTTGAAATGCCTTGAAAGGATTTTCATTGAAATGTAGATTTCTTCTCTTTCAAAAGTACTTTTATTCCCCCGTGCTTCTTTCCCTTTTTTTTTCCTATTGACTTCCTCTCTAGATTTAGAGCAAAAACATAGTCTCCAATGTCTGGGCACTGCAGCATGTGTCACACAGATGTCCCTAAAGTGACATCTTCTTTAAACCTAACCTTCCCATGGCCTATAGACTGTGCTGACAATTTGCCTTAGGTCTTAGTCTGGTACCCTTGGGCTTCCTCCAGGGATAGCAAAGAAAATTCATAGGTGATAGAAGGGTTTGCTCTATCAGTCTCTCCTCATTCTGAAAAGTATTGTGTGATTTGCTAATTAATATCACCACCACAATTAGGAACCTAGTGGAAAAATTCTATAAATATGAGTGAGGGTGTCAGTGAGCTGAAGCCATGGCACAGGTAAGTCTTGTATAGTTTGGGTTCTGTTTCCAGTAGTGCAAAACCTGAATATCCTAATCCAGAAGGGAATTTACTAACAAAGCACTGTAGTTAATTCTGCATTGTATTTAAATGTCAGTAGCACAAAGCCTCAGAATCGTGTTGGCCTCTACAGTAAACCTTGATACCAATACAGCAATAGTAGCAAGTTCTTTATTTCACCTATACATTCAGAGAGCATTATTTACTAATAGATTATGATCTGGTCAAAATGATCTATACATTCATTACATCTGGAGTGGGCTTTCATAACTCACAGGACCTAAGAATGAGGCAAAACTCACATTTGTTTATAGTGCTGCAGCTCTGCTCAGCAAGAAAAGGTGCAGAGAAAACACTGTCCTAAGCACTTGTGGTCTGCTCTGGGTCCCAGGTGATTTCTCACGCCAGCTCACAAATATTTTTAAGAGCCTCAGAAGAGTGGGGACTTGGCTGCCTCTGAGCCACCTCAAAATACAGCTGTTCCTTTGCAAATCAGCCACCCCACAAGCCTCGTGCAGTCATGGCTGGGGTTATCTCCCAGGGGAAATCTTCCCAGTGGAACAAAACATTTGAAGAATAGAAGATGGAAATGAAGCTAAAGCATTCTCAATATCAGATTTTGCACATTTTTTTTTTTTTTTGCAATAACACAGAAGGAAGAAAGAGAATAAGAAAATGAGTTAGAGGGAGATGGAGAGAGAGATGCTCTATTAAGCAAAGCTACTTTTTTACTCTCAGAATTTACAGTCCTGATAGACATCTTTTTTCAAAATTACTCATTTTTTATATTCAGATACTACAGCTTGCAGTACTAGGTCCTAGATTTGTCTGGACAGATTACCCTCTTATTTCCACAATGAAACTTAATTATCCTTTTTATGTCTTCAGATACTTCCAGTTATTTCCTGAACTGTTTCTGGGGACAGAAAGCAGCTGATGGGTCAGTCAGTGAAGTAAATACTATGCATCCCTACTGTTTTTAAAGTAAAAGCCCTTTGCCCCAGGTGTTTTTAGAATATTTTGAGGGCTACTACATATAATTTGCTCAGATATACTTTTCAGAGCTTTTTTCTTTTTGTGACTAGGCAGAGAGTCATCATTTTCTCAGCACCTTTCTATGTATTACTTGGAAGCATCTAAATGTGACTAACTCACCTGGAATCCATAGAGGGATATTTGAATGCGTCATCTCTGAGACAAGAATAACTCCTCCTGAAATCCAGGGTGGAAAGGACTGCGTGGTTTCAAACACCCCTTCCTGTACCCCTGCTGTTGCAGCAAGAAGGAATTCATATGACTACTTAAAGCCCAAATGAATAAATAAATTGGTTCAAAGCAATGGTAGGAGCACAGAGGGGTGTGGAAGTTGCTGGTGTTGTTACTGGATTTTAGAACACTGTAGGTTTCATCTGTAAAGAAACCTATAATACATGATCCACTGTCACTGCCTTCTATCTGAGCAGAACTAACGCAGAGCAGTCAACATGAAAATGTCACCTAAGATAACCCAGGACATGCAGGACATGCAAGTACTGAACAGAAAATTATAATGAGTATCCATTCAGACTTTTAGAGTCATTTTTTAGCTTTTTATTTTTTAAGTCTCTGCTGTTCAAAATAGAAAGTAAAGAAGTGTTACAACTAATTAAAATATAAATTGGCTACAGAAAATCACCCAAATCATCAGGAATTTGAGAGAGAGCTCAACTAGGCATGTGTTATAGAATCCTTTATTAATTAAATGCTAAATCCTAAAGGGCTGAACTGACAAAATAATCTTAATATCTAAATAGAGCAGGTGTTGCTGTGGTACTCAGGTACACTTTACTGGATTGAATAAGTAGTGGTCAAATGCAGTTTAACTAGGCTGGGATGAACAACAGACTTTGTAAGGACTTTACATATTGTATACTCCCCAAATTAAACAAAACTTCTCTTACCCTGGCACAGTGTTCACACTGCAGTCACATCTCTGCATGGAAGTTTCTTCTTCCAAGTCCAACTTGTGTCCCCAGCCTGAAAGCAGGAACCAGGATGGTTCAGTATCACTGAGTCTGCCATACCAAAACCAGAAATTAAGATGTCACTGCGGTATAAAACACAAGTTTCTCTGTCACACCCAACCTACATTTTCTCCAGATGAGTTCATCCTACTCGGTTTCCATTATCCTCAGAGAACAGATAATCTGTTTTCTATAAATACAATAAAGAGTGCTTCAAATGACATGACATTTTTTCAATTCACCATTTCGGTGATTCAAAATAAGTGTGAAAAGAAAACATGCTGAAAGCAACAAGCAGCAGGATCTGAGGACTGAGGCCCTCAGGAGGCTGAGTCCCCATTTTTGCTGCTGATGGATTCTCCCAGCTCAGAGCTGCCACCTGAACCTTCACCTGGGTGTATTTACCTGCCTCCACAGGGTCCTGCAGCCCCGTGTGCTGCACAGTCTGCACAGCAATAAACTGGGTCCTGATCTCATCCCTGCAACTGGAAAAAGAGAGATAAAAAATAATAATAAGCCCGGAATAATTATGTATTGTCTTTATAGTGAAACAGGCCTTGAGCATTGTGAGCTCTCCACTGGGAGAAGTCCCATTTAAAAAATCTCCCTGGCACAAAAATGAATTGGGTCCTGTTACATGAATGGCCTGTGTTTACTATTCTTTTCACTTACCTTCTAGTCGTTCATTTTCTGAGCTGACTTGCGCCTCTTCCTCTGTTGTCAGCAGGAACTGGGTAACAAGAACTTGCTGGAAATGGAGTGGTAAACAAATAAACAAATACAGAAAAGAACCTGCTGACTTGGCAGATGCACTATTACAACCATGATGTAAAACTATCAAACAACAAATGCAACTTCTGGATGTCTCATGACTCACATCACAAACAGAAAGGGAGGAAACTGAAAGAGGATTTTAATCAGTGATAATGAATTTGGAACAACACTGGAATTTCAGATCATAGGAAAATCAGGACAAGTCTGGGTTGAATTCTTGTTCTGAATCAAATATTCTTCTTCCTGCAGCCATCAATCACTGCATCCATAATCTGTAAAAAGTCAGCACTTGGACTACCCCAATAGCAATGACCACTCTACTATAACCAAAAAGATCAGTCAGCATCTTTGCTTTAGGGTAAGGAAAATATTTGACACTTCAAAAGTACTCATCTCTCCTCCCAAGAGCCCAACACCTCTAAGCATGTAACCAGGGCTCCTTGCTTCATCTGTTTCAATTTTGAAGCTCTTGGAAAAGGTAACAGTTCACAACTGCTGCAATGGTCTTGCCCCAGGGAGATGGACAAAAGATCAGGACAGAGGCAGAAACACCACAAGGAACCTAACGGATGTTTTCTTGGGGAAAAGGGGAGATTAATTAAAGGGCAAAATCTGCTGGTCATTAAGTGTCCTGGAGCAACTATTGTGACACTGAAGCAGTGAGTTTCTGTGTGGCTTTAAGACATCTGCCCTGAGGAAACATTCGCAATTGAAACTGCATCCTCTTTTTCCCAAGTCTCCAATTCCCATGGGCCAGCAGTTGCCTTGCTAAATGAAATGCTTCTTTGGGGAGACTGGCTGGCCCCAGGGATTGGTAATGCAATATAGAGCCTTTCATCTCTCACCCATGAACCCAAGTCAAACAGAGTTTGGTAAATGGCCAATAACCCCTACCATTCCAGGGCTGTTTGGTGACCTGTGTGAAATGAGGAGGGTCATCTCTGTGTCTGTTTACTAGAAGGCAAGTGTCAACTTCACCATAAAAAAAGAACACAGTTACTACTCATTATCACCCAATTTAACATTCTGAAGACAAGAGAATGAGCCTGGAAAACTCAGCCATCTTCTGACCCAACCATGGCGGTCCCAGTACATCAGGCCCTGAAGAACATTAATGAGGACAGTTGCATTGTGGCAAACCAGGCTGTGCCTCTCCTGCCAACAAGAAATCCAAGTCTGAGCTACTCCCAGCTGCATGTGATTACAGTCCTTCCCAGATCCACGTGGAAATCCACAGGATTCAGTCCAGGTTTTGGGTGCACCAGGCACTAAGGCACAACCACGAAGTCACAGAATGCTACAGACTTCTGCAAATCGGCATTTATGGTCTTAAACAGGCACAGGCAACCTTCACAGGGACCCAGAATCCAGCACTGACAGAGTTAATATGCTGAGAAGCCTGCACTGAAAGGCTCTGTTCCCTCACCCATCACGAATATACTGTTCTGGTTACCAAAATAGCTGTATTTGGCAGGGTTGAAGGCCAGAAGCTCACTGCAGTACCCACTCTTGCCCTATGCACTGCTCATTTTAAGGTCAGACCTTTAGCATCAGGAATCTGTTAGAAGAAAGAGGAATCGCTTTAAAAGTTGTTGCCACTCTGGGGATTACCCTGCAAGGTCTGAGAGGGTAAAGGAAAGGGCAGGGGCAGATAAACACTTGGCCACATGAAAAATCAGCTGCCCCTAAATTTCAATACATCTGCATAAACCTCCCAAAACTGCAGCCAGCTTGCTCTTCCTCACGGCCATCACTCTCATTTTGCAGCCCTTCTTATGCCACAGCAATGCTAACTCTGTCATTGTCCCCTCCTATCTTGCTTAATTGCATTAAATTGGTATACCTATGTTAATTAAACAGAAGATGGCAGAGGCAGTTTTACTTCTTGTTCTTTTGTGTAGATCATTTCCTAGGGCTTCACAGGTTGTGGAAAAATAACAATACAGACACAGCACACGTCATATTTCAGCACAGCTGATAAAGCTATTTTACTCATACAGTAGTCCATGATTCTTTTTGCATATCACAGCATAGGTTTAATTACCAGGCTGCTGCTGCATGGCAGCTCTTCTTGCTTTTTCTTTTTTTTTCTTATTTGTATTATTTGCAAGTCATAATCATGTTTTCCTGTCATCCCCGAGCAATGTGCATGCGTGCGTACAGGCAAATGCCAAGCCTGGAAAAGAAATTTGATGCGTGTCCATGAATTAGAGTTTTCAAACTTTGGCTGAAGATTAGTACATGTAAACATAGCTCTGCCCCCTTCATCTTGGATAATTGGTCACAAATGCTACTTGACACTTCTCAAATCAGACACTTTACATACTTCTGAGCATAGCTGAACTTTTTTGGCAGGAATTAATTTGCTTTGCAACTTAGCTGCTCATTCCTGGCCCGATCCCTGCTCCAGTGATTTCAGGGCAATGTTCTGCCAGTGTGAGGAGCACAGAGGCAGGACCGGATCTGTTTGCTAGCGCAGACGAGCCCGGCTTTGTTGACTCCCTCAGAAAAACAATTACTGCAGCTAATGTTCTGCCCTTTGCCAGCCTTGATTAACATCGGGATTTTTACCTTCAGGCCTCTCTTTCTATTCCAATTACTGAGCAAGTTACAATGCATCAGAGGACATCTTAAAATAATGGAGAAGGTGATGTAGCATCACCAGAAAATGAAACTTTCAACACATCGAGACCCTTCCACAGCATTTCCAGCTTTGTGGGAGATGGTTACAGACACCATCCGAGGAGACTCTCTCACTTTTTTTCCTGCTCCTCCTGCAAACAGTGCACGCTCCAGCAGAGAAGGGAAATCCATTTCTGGAGTAGTGATGGAGTTTGAAGCAGGCACAGAATTCCGTGCTATTAAAGAGCCCCCTGTTTGCTCTGACAGTTCAGCGTGTTTACTCACCGTGCACCAGAGCTGCGAGAGCTGAGCAGACCATATGCTCACTTCAAAGGGCTGCCAGGTCTCAGGGAGCATTACTGTGCCTATTCCAGGAGGGGTTTGGGGCAAGAACACATTTCATAAAGGATTTCACTAGGAATATTGTATTTTATCTGGTGATTTATTTCTGTCCAGTCTCTGGACTAAATGGCAGATTATCAGCATTCAACCATGTAGATCTGTGAATAACCAGTGGAAAATCTCATTTGCCCTTTATTCACTGGGTTGTTGATAAGATGCAGCATATTAAAAAATTTGTCAGTTTGCTCTTCTCAGCTATCAAGTGGGGTATGCGCCAGCATTCCCTCCTCAAGCTGGCTGCTTCCTCCAGAAAATGGAGAGAAAATGATGAAACCATGTTGTTTCTAGAAGAGGGTGACCCTCTGAGTTATTTTAGGATTATTGCCTTGCTTCTAAACTAAAACCAAATCCATAAATTAGATTGAGCTCCTACCTGCAGAAGCAAAGAGTGGAACTTTGTGCAGTGCTTCAGGTGTAGACTATGAGAGGAGCAAATCCCTGGTGGTGCACTCGTGCTGCCTTGGTTCTCAGGGCTTTGTGCAGCTCAAAGCACTGATGAGGAGTAGCCAAGACAGAAGCAGTCCCCACCTCTGGTGGCTCATGCCATGAGGAAGGGCTGACCACAGCACAGGGCCAGGGAAGCAGCTGCATCAGCCAACTCCCTGAGTGCTTGGTCCCCACACTTTCCAGTCATGGTTTTGTGATGGTTCATCTCTAGAAAAGAAGGGTAGCTCACGTTATCAGAAATGTGGCTGATTCACTGTGGAGAAGCAATAATTTGCTTCCCCAGAATTCCCCAGAATTTGCCATGGAATAACGAAAAAATCCACATTGCATATTAGGATGTCTTGAGTTTTTATAGATTCATGCTTTATAATAAACAAATTGAGATGTATTTTGCTTCCTTCTGTTTAACTCTGATATTTGAATCACTGTGGTAGTGGTGGGTATGATATTTCTAGGTGAGCAAGGCAACAATTGGCCAAGAGATACAGCACAGCTCTAAAGTCTGAACTAAAGAGGATGCTTGGTTTCCATTACTATTATCTATCACTATAAATTTAGCTTTCAGGTCCTAGACATTTTAAAATAACATGTCTAGTGTTGGAATAGGAGACTATCAGAAAAAATGAATTACACGTTACAGGCTTCCAGGATTTGCAGTAAAAGAGCTATTACTGTAATTACACCTGTAGAGTACTCATTTATGTTGTTATTAGGGGAAAGGGATGGGAGAATTAGGATGTATGGAAAGAAAACATTGCAGAAGGGGAGCTAAATAGTCTAACTGGGACAAAGCTCCTGGTCACACTTCTGTTTTCAGCATGTGAAGTCACCATGTGCATGTGGACCTGCAATGTCCAGGGATTTAGGTGAAACAATAATAGATCACCAATATCTGCTACAAATGGACACAAACCCCAGCCCTCAGAAAGGCCCAGCCTCACACTCAGCCCCCAGATTGGGAGCTGATACCTTTTGTACCACTGAACATCTCCATGGTCTTTGCTGGGTGCAAATGGGGATTGATCAAGTGACTCCATGAGCTCCATTCTTCAGAGACAAAAGTCCTTCCCCATCCTCAAAGAAGATCAAACCCAGATTCTTGAACATTAGAAATGAGACTAGAATAAGGAAAACCAAAATATTTATTTTCAGGGGAGAGGTGAATCTCCATTTTGACTCGTTATTTTGCCAGGGCTAAGTGGCCATTATTAGTCCATAGGTACATGCTGGTGTAAATCCACTGTGTCACTTCCTGGATGTCATTACTTAAAATCAGCAAACTCGTGCTTCACTGGCTGAAGGTTTGCTTGCTTAATGCCTGGTTTCATCAACAAATTTAGGCTGGCAATGACATCCTACTTGTCTAAGCTAACACAGAGCCCTGCACTGTCCTTGTTTCCCGTCCCATTCAAACTTATGCAGTGTTAGTGACTACCAAAAACCAACATTACAGCTGAAGAGAATGAAGTGATGAATGAACATGAGGTTTGCATGTCCGGCTGGGTAGATCACATTATTTAATGTATCACTATGTTTGTATTTAAAAAGCATTTAAAATATATTATTTCTTCTATTACTCCATCTCTTCAGCGCTCTGACTCCAGAGATGAATCGTGCTGTGTGTTTTGGTAGAGATTTGTTTTCTAAAACATGATGGAACCATGTGGATCTTAAATCACTGCTGTAATAAGTGAGTTGTCCCTACTTAAGGAAACTCTTGTGTCAGGAGTAAAAGTCCTTGTGTAGCTGTGCTGCAAGAAGCAGGATAATATTTAATTATGACAGTTGAAACTCAACTCCAGGTGCAGACAATATTGATTTGTTCTAATATAGAAAAGGTGGAATTAAAAAGCTGGTTTATTTAGAAATTTACGTATTCCTAGAAATGTCTGTTCAGCTCATTTTTAAATTTGATTTCATATCCCAGGTGGATTACACTGCATTTCTGAATCTCAAGAACTGCCTGTGCCTGATAAGAGCTGATCAAAGTACTAGCATAATTCAGTTGTTTTGATTGTAAGATTTTTGTTTGCTGCTTTACTGGACAATGGCGTTTGCAAAAATGAGGTGAAGAGCACCAGAGATAGAATTACAGCCCACAGTTGGTGCATGAGACTTAATATTAGTATAGGCCCACAATCTATAAGGTCAATGGCAAATTATACCAGCTGGCAGTCAAAATCAATGCCTGGTTCTGAAAAAAAAACAGCAAGAAAAATCTGTGCCAGTGTCCCAAAATGACAAGTGAACTTGGGCAAGTTGAAGATAATTATGATTATTTAATATTCCACAGTTTTACAACTTGATACTCTGTGGACAAAAGATCAGAAGTCTGCTGAATCCAAAGGTTTGAATCTTTGGGTCAATATGCTTCTCATGTCATCAACATTGTTTAATTTAGGAGGAAACAGTTCTGAGCTAGGATAAGATCTCAGACAAAATTGACGTGCGCTCACAACATGGCCTAACATAACAATTTAATCTACCCTGTGCTTCCCCTGAAAGAAGGCTTAATAACTGTGGCATGATTTCACCTGCTGCTTCTAACATTTGCTCATTCTTTTTTCCTGAGCAAATTTGGATTATCAGATGGCAAGCAGCTTTGTTCATGGTAGACAAACTTGAATTCATTTAGGATTCATAACAATAGGTTCAATCTTGGATTCAATGGCAGTTCTTAATGAATGGAGTCTTTGGAAGATAAATGTTTGTTTGTGTTAAAAGAGAAATAATTAATTCTCCATTTTTCTGGTTATGAGGTGATTACAGTACATATCACAAAATGTTTTCCCTGTATTTCCAGCCCTGGGTATAAGAACTGCAGGAATGTTCCCCAAGCCCCAGCACTGCAGATATGAGCCATTCTGACCTTGTCATTTCAAAATCTGAAGTTTTGCAATGAATTGCTTGGTGTGAGGAAAAAAAATGTATCTCTTACTCACAGTGCTCTCAGTTCCTCCTGGTGATCTGATGCAGGGCAGCGAGGAGGGAGGAAGGTCCACGTCGCTGCGATCCATCAGCAGCCGTGGGTCAGCACGGGGTTACTTGGATGAAGGAATCAAGGCTGGATCTGGATTTTGGCCCAATCCTCACTATTGTCTTAGACATGGGCATCTTCCAAATTCCTGTGGGAAATCCCACATTCTTCATGACTGTCCCTGTCCCTCGGGAAGCAGCCGGAGCACACGCGACCGCCGTGCCCGGCCAGGAGAGGCTGTGCTGCCCAGCGCCCGGTACCCGCTGACCTCAGGAGGAATTAACAGGCTTCAGCAAACGTACCCTGCAGGCAATTTTACCCTGGAAAAACATCACCCACATTGCTAGAGTTTAGGACAACAAATTAAAGCTTTTAATATGCACTGGCTGCTTTTTGTTTTCCCCCCCATCCCCACACCACCACCATCCCCCCTCCCAACCCAGTAACATCCAGTTGCTTAATTCCATTTGAAATCAGCCGGGTTAGGCACCTAAATAATCTTGTCCTTCATGCCTGTCAACATCTTGAGGCACCTAACCACCTTTAGAGATGTGGTGTGAAAGCTTGTGAACGATGCAATCGAGGAGGGAAACAAAAGACAAGTATCCCTATTTGCTGCCCAAGAATCCACAAAGAATGCTGCTTCAGCTCTGCTCTGATTTCTAATTAGATTATGAGTGATGTAGGACTCTGAAGCCAAGCTGGAGTTTGTGCTAGCACTTTGCATGTATGAATGACAAAGGGACACCACTTTCATATTGATTTAAGCAAGCCAGTGGAAGAATGTTTAAACACCAAGTGCTTGATGTCCCAGTTTGCCAGAGCACCTGGAAATATCAAATTAATTCCAGGTGTTCTGCCATTAAGACAGGCTTGCTGCTTTTACAGCCACACATACAAAATGTGGCTCCCAGTTCCACAAATAAAAACGGAATGGTTTCTGCTCCTAATGCCTCGATAACTCCGACATATTGCAAGTTCTGGAAAGAATTTTAATCTACATAGGTTTTTTTTTAATGGGGAGGGGAGCAAGGGGGGAAAGATTTTAAATATGCTGCATACAATTTGTGATGGTCATCTCTAAAATGCAGCTCCATTATCCTTTTCCATTTGGAATGAATGAGGCTAATTAATTTCAGGCCATACTTGATGAGGTCAGCACCATACGAAGGGTGCGTGCTAGACATTGCTAATCTCTTTCAGCTGAGAGTGATGAATTAAAGATGAAGCATTCCTTTGCAGGCCTAATTTAGAATGTATATCAAAAACCTACAGCAAATAATACTATACCCTACAACAAAGGAAAACTTGTTCTCTCAGGCTCCCATGTAGGGTTGATTTTAAAGGCATTTTCATTTCACTTTGGAATTCCAGCTGTGGATGGGTGAAACAGTTCAGAAAATTCAAGCTTTCTCTCTTTCTATTGCTTTTATGGACAAAAGTAGGCAAGGGGGGGCTAAGGGGAGAGAGAAACTGGTCCATGTTTGATGCTGTATATCCTGTGATTCTGACTGTACGCTCGGTGTTTGGGAAACCAACTACCTGTGACGTGACACCCCCCCACGGCCCACACTCACACCTCACTGCTGGGGCTTTTGAAGTCTCAGGGGAAAGCAGCCAAGGGTCCCCTTTGGTTCAGCATCATCCCAATAATGTTTTGTTGGACGTTGGAGGCGGGAGACAGGACAGGTCCAGCAGTTCTGCTGGGTCACCCAACAAGGACAGGAGGTTCCAAGCCCACACAGAGCTGTCACTCCCTTAGGGATAAACGCCTCCCTGTGCAAAAAAGGTCCCATCATGCCTAGAAGTGCAGAGAGCAAAACAGAATAGAACAAATCACTACGAAAGCAACCAGGTCTGGGAGCAGGACAAATTGCTGCACAGCTCCTGAACTGGCTGGAGTTGAGGCTCAGCCAAGCTTTGTCACCTTTCCCTCAAGGCAAAGCCACCCACAAAGTCAATAGGGGTTTTCCCTGAGTGAGGGACTGCAGGATTTGTTCCTGTGGGCAGCAAGAACCTGAATTGTCATTTTGGTAAAAGAGGGACTTATGAAATCTTAAGCCAGCCTCGGAAGAAGGCTGCAAACAATAGACCACCATCCTCCCCACCACTTCTCTGCTCAATACCTGGCAGTTCCTTGGAATTCTTGACAGGTTGCTGCAGCGAGTCGAAGTTCCCAACTGGTGGCCATAAGCGGCTGCCGTCTTTGTATCCCAGTAGTCCTCATTAGAACAAAGCTGCTTCGAATTAAATCCAATCTACATGCCGAATCAATCTTTCAGCCCTTTGATTGCTTCTGAAAATATTTATACTTCTTAATAATGCACATTTTGTCCCAAAGCCTGTGATTAAACCCAGACAAGGTCCGGAGAAGCCTGAAGTATATGTGGAAGGGGTTATTTTGGACAGGAAAAGAAAGATAAAGACACAGGTTTTTCCTATTGTGAAATCATTAGAGTGTATAAATCTAGCAATTGCAGTTGTATAAGCATCAGAGTGGGGTTGTAATAAATACAGATTGGAGTATTATAGTAACCAAATGGAGTTTATGGATTATGTTCACTAGTTCATATTTCTCAGCTACTACAACCTAACTAGCTTCATGCTGCACTCACCTCTGTTAATATTCCCTATTAATATTCTTTTTACGTGTTTGTGGGAAAAAAAAAAGTTAGGATTCAACTGCTGCTCTGTGTAAAACAAATATGTTTAAAGAATCATGCCCTCCAAAGAAAAAAAATAAACACAGGGATGCTGCAAAGCAACTGTGTTCGAAGGGCACAGGCTGTGGCTGGCTGAAATCAGCCTGTTCTGCTGAAAGTTAATAACTTCCATCTGAGGGGGATCTGGTCCTAATGCAGGGCATTTGCTGTGTGAAAATTGGGGTGTAAAAATAAAGAAAATAACTTCTGCTGTCCCTTACCCTGGTGAATTTTTAGGGTGGTAAATAATAAGCTTTGGCCAGAGATGAGAAACGCACAAAGGCTTTGAAACTGTGCTGCGTGGTAAACAGCGTGTTGTTCCCTTCTCAAAAAGCATCACAGGTGAGACATGAGGAGATGAGGGGTAGGAAACATTCCTTGGCTAAGAAGAAACCCAGATAGGGTCAAATCCTCCAGAGTGGAGATCTGCCATCGATGGAGAAGGTGGTGCTGCCTGGGGACGCAGATCAGATAAAGGCTCTGTACCTGTCTCCCTCCCCAAACACAAATAACTGCCTTTGTCTCTAATAACAGGGGAAAATTTACTTTGGAAAACACATCATGATAAATCTCCTTGGATATAATATGCAGTGTCTGGGTGAGAGGGAAAGAAATCCTAGATACTAAAAATATGTAGTACTTATTTAATATCATTGTCATCAGCAGCATCAGATGGTAAATGCAGGTAATATTCTTTAAGAGTGGGCTGGTAAATGCTCATGGTAGTTTTGCTTTTGACAGTTTCTCCTTTCATAAAGAAGAGAAAGAAATATTCTCAGTTCAAATATTATTCATTGACTCTTTCATCACGTAGTTCATTATATTAAGTTGTTATTTCCTAAATATGTTGGGGGGTGGTATTATTATTATACATATATCCTGAGTCATGATGGCTATTTTGCATTAATGTATGATTTGGATGCTCAGTCTTTAAGGTAGAGAGAAGGGGTGTGTTTATCATGGCCATAAATAAGGGGAGAGCAGGGACTGAAAAAACCTCTCATAAATGGGGATGGATCCAAAATCTAATGACACACATGAAAATCCATTTTGGATCAGAACCCCATCTGAACTATGTATTATATAACCAGCATTTTCTGAGTATCTTCTATTGTTTGACAACCCTGATTTCACACTGAACTTGGAGTTCATTTCCGAACAGAAGCTTTTTGTATGGAAACTTTTAATCATATCCCTTTGTGAACACACACATACCATCGAGGATATTGTCTTATTAAGAGTTTAAGCCTAAAGGTGTATGCCTACTTTTAAAAGAAATTTTCTGATTGCAGATAACTGCTCAATTTGATTTAGTGTCCAATGATAGTGATGGGGTTGATAACTGAGCATTCATCGGTAATTCATCTTGTGCTAGTAGAAATTTACAGCAAAGCAGTGCTTTCCCAACACTGACAAGTCCTATTAATCTTCTTCAGACACATTTCAATAGGTGTCTCCATCTGTGCCCAACATCTAAACACTCTGGCATCACTGGGGACTTGGAGACACCTTCATTTCAGGTTACACTAGTGAAAATGTGATACTAGATTGTACTCTATTTTTAACCTAATTCTCTCTTTTCATTCAATTAGCCTTTCTTGCCTGCATTTTTCTACTCATGTGTAACATCCTTTTCCCAGGAATAGCTTAAAAATAAGATTTAGTTACTTAAAGAGACAGAATCTGCCAGGGCAAGAGCAACCAAGAGCTTAGTACAGAAAAGCAGAATAACAAAGCTCAGGGACACAGCGTGGAGACCGAATTGCCAGTCGCCAAACACAGCCCGAGCAGCATTCCCACAATATTCCCCTCCTGATGCACCTCTTGCAGGCACCACTGGGTTAGGACAGGTCTGAAACCAAAGCTGAAAACAATTGCAGGATATTTGGGTGCTGAAATCCCAAAGAGCTCTGTTTGTTCGTGCTGCACGGGGATCCCCAGCATCCATCCCCACTTCGCTTTACATCTACAACTAATGCATGAACAAACACAGAGCAGTCAAATTACAGCAATAACATTTATGGGTGGATTATGTTCCAACTTCCTCACTTATTATTAAAAGCGAGTAAATTGCAAAGCACATGGAAGAGGTAGGGTGCAAATGCAGGCGAATTTCCACTCTGAACCAAATGTTGTTTTTTCACTTTCAAAGCTGCGATGAGTTTGCGAGCAGACGCAGCACAGCTTTAAAGCTTACTCATTCAAAAATGTGTGTTTGGGTTCCTTTTTTTTTTTTTTTTTCCCTCTCCCCTCCTTACTCCATTTACGTTTGCCTTTCAAAGAGGAGCAGATGCACACCATTTGGGTTTGGGTGGCTCCTACTTGCTCTGAACTTTCTTCTGAAAAGAGCAAACCGTGAGCCGTGCGTCTGCTCCGCGCCTCAGAGGCGGTTTCAAACTTTGTTTCTGGCTTTATGAAGTTCTCTCATGAGTCGTATTATAGATCTAAATGACCTTATTGTAGGTGGCAAGTTTAAATGTGCCATATTAATAACTTGTTATCCAAGACAAATTAAGTCCTTATGTGTCAAAAGCACTCTGTTCTGGATTACCTACAAGACAAGTATTTATTGAATAAACGTTGGATCCAATTTCATTTTAATGTGACTGACTGTATGCTGCAGCCCCTTAGAACGAGATAAAAACACTCAAACCTACAACTGTGTTGCAACATTACACCTAACTTGTCTATTTCTATTATTGTCTTTTTAACATGGGATCTCAAAAGTGTTTGGGGGGGTTAAAGGATTTATTATTATTATTGTTATTATTTTTTGTGAAGAGCAAGGAGAGGCGTAGGAAAAAAAGACTGGCATTCAGCCTAAAGAGAAATCATTGAAACAAATTAATCCTATGCCGTTTAAATTGACATGGTAATCCATCATCAGCAAAGGGAAACTCTGAAAGCAATCTAGAATCTGCAGTGTTCTTTCACTGGCCCTCAGGCACAAAGACAGATAGTAAAAGAGGAAGGGGGGGAAAAAATCATAAAAGTTAGCAGCACCTTAGCATAGGGAAGGGCTAGGGAAAGCAGCTTTCACTTTTTCCTGCTTTCAAGCACCCAGCTCAGAAAGCAGCGCTGATTAACCTTCAGTCACTGCCTGCTAACATTTACTTGTGTGTCAGATCATCTTCAGCTGCTGGGAGAGGAGTTATTTCAAATAGTGCAGAGCCCCCATCCTGTATAAACTCCACCACTGAAAACTCTGCCAAATATCAACTTGGGCATTTCTGCTTACAGAGGGCCTTTTATTAGCCTAAACTTGATCATTCCAAATGGACAATAAATTCTATCTGCAGAGCCCTGCAGAAAATAGCTGTACTATCCTTGGGAGTTTAATAGCCAGGATTTTCATAGAGCTAGCATGAAAAAACCTGGGGGGGTTTATTTGGGTTTGGACTCAGGGTATTTTTTTTGTCTATCCCCTGCTTTCTCAGTGGGGCTATCCACCATAATATATGTTTCCCAAGAGATTTTTCAAACTAGTTTTAAATATCTAAAGTGATGAGACTTTGTGCACCTTTAAAATTTTATTAGACTCACGGTCAGAAGAAAACATAAACCTCTTGGGCCTTGAAAGCCCATTGCAATACAGCCATTATCCCTATAATGTCAACAGAGCTACAAAATTCTCTAGAAATAAACCTTTTAAGAACAGCTTCCCCTGCTTCATGTTTTCTTTTAAGGTCAGTGGTGCATCACTTTTTTGGAAAACGTTTCCTCTCTCTGGCCAGGTTTAGCAATGTGAAATAGAATGTATATTACTAAATGAATAGGTTTAATTTTAGACACTGAAAAAACAAATAGAAGAAGAGAGCCAGGGAAGGAATAATACCTTTCAGTTAGAAACAGACATAGTAGAAAGAAAAAGTCAGAACTTTAGTGCCAGGGGCAAAGGGGTGAAAGGCTGGCTAATATGAACCATATCCAACATCTGCCCTATTTTAATTTAGCAGGGATAAAGTTTCTTCTTTTTTATTATTAAGAAAACTTTATGTGGCAGAGAAAGCCATGAGCTATGTTATCAAAACTGTTTTATTGTCACACTGAAACTTAGAACTATTAAGAACTGGCGGGGCAAAGAGATAAAAACTCCCCTTCTCTCTCCTTTTATACTCTGTGACAAGCCTGGGCTCGGGTCCTGCTGACTGGGATGTCCTTTTCATGTCTTTATGAAGTACTGCACTTGGGGCTGTAATATAAAGGGGAGGTTAATTGTTCAGGATGGGTCCAAATGATTGATTCTCCAGGTTAAAAAAAAAAAAAAAAAAAAAAACTAAATTAATAAATAAAAAAAATCTGAATATTTAAAACAAAATCCTGCCGCGGTGGTCGCCCTCAGAGGTGAGCGAAGGTGGTGGTGCACAACAAGTGTAAAGAAGGGCTGGGCTGGGAACCTGTATGAGAAACAGCCCAAATTGCCAGGCTGGAACATGATCTCATTCCATCTAAAAGTTTTCCACCTCCATAGTGCAAATTCCACTATAAAATAACAAAGTATACCAAACCACATGTGAGTAGCTGTAGGAGTAAGAGAGCAAATTGGTTTCTGACAAAAGAAGGATGAATACCTTTGGATAATCTAAAGTTAAAATTTGATTGAAAGCATAACATTCCTCTAAGCATCAATATGCTTAGGATCCAAAATATGGTTATTTTATTACCAGTTAATACTTAGATCAAAGCAAAACACTGTAGCTGGAAGGGACATTCTCCCTGGAAATAAAGTTCCATGTAATTATTTCCTATTAAAAACTAAAACTGGTCTTAGATTCAAAAATTTGGGCTTCCTTACATGTGATATAATGCAAGCTTGTCAAGAGAGAGCAGATGTAGCATTTTTCACTGTTTGCTGCTATCTCTTTGCTTTAAAGTTTTCGGTTTAGCTTTAACCCTTTGAATGTGAAAGATTCTCATCCAATTTACCTTGATCAGACCAGGGGGAATGTTTTGGATTATATTGATTCATTTCTTATGATAAGAAATTAGGATTTGATATGAGCTAACATCATTTTAAATAAAGCTTGCAAATGTAAGGAGGTGAAATCTCAAGAAAATGATATGGCGATGGGCAAGGCAGCTGAAAGTTAAATATTAAATTGTAAACAAAGGTTTTATTCTTGGGCAAAACAGCTCATCTTAATTCAGTTTGAGACATGGAGTTTAAAATATGCACTCAAAATACTTCCAAGAAAGCTGCAACCTTTCAGAGGAGAGAGATAAGAATGTATTTTAATTATGAGGTTATAAATATGCGATAGATTTAATTTTTTTACCAACTCCTAATGTGCTACGTAACATTGTTCAGATACAGTTACACATTTATCTGTCTGTCTCTATTCCTGTCCAGGGTTTTGCTTTTATTTTATTCTTTCTCTTTTATTTTTTCCCCCTCCTGATAGCTCAATCTCTATTTATGGCATCATTGAGGCAGGCCCTAGGAAAAAATAAAAATAATCTATCCTTCTGTATTTATAAAGCAACACAGAATAAATAAGGAATGGTTCCTTTTTACAACTGAAGGGCTGGTATTATAAGTAGCAATATGAAATATTTAGACACATTATTTCAAGCTTCCTGGCTGCTTCTGATTCTGCTAATTATTTTTGATCTGTCACTCAGAAATAAAATAAATAAATAAATAAAACTTTAAAGAGTTCATTAGGACTGCAGAAAGGAAGAAGAGTCAGATATAAGGCAGCAATTATAATTTGGTTTTAACATGTATTTTTCATTTTTTGCTGACTCCTCAGCTACATTGTTTAGTATAGGATGGCTACAATATACTTCTGCATTAAAGCCTGTTAAATAAGGAAGAAGCTGAGACATTCAGCTGGGATATTGTTTGCTAGCTCAATTAGTATCCCAAGAATTTGAAAGTACAATAAATGTATCTGAAGATCATATCTAAACATACTTACCAAAAAGTACCCACCTCTCTCAGCAGTTCACATATTTCTGCCTTCTAACTGGGAGGGGAAAAAAAAAAAAAAGAAAAAAAAAAGGCAGTTCGATGTGTAGGTTAAGATTGGCGTGTGGCAAGGTTTGTGTGAGATACAAAGAAATCTGTATTTCACTCAACAATTTCATTGCTTAAACATATAGTTTAGAAGCATCTTTTCCTTAAACATGTGGTTCAATAACATTTTCTTCAAAGGAACAACGCAGTGTGTTAAAAGATTTAAGAACAAAGAATGTGCTGCAAAATGCAAATTCCTCCAGTGTTACACTGTGTATGCAATTATGTATGTAGGCAGATAGATATAATTTGAGAGTTATTAACTTTCAACATCAATGATGTATCCTGAATCAATACAATGTAACTACCTATTAAAATATAAACCAGGTGTGTTCCCAGGCAAATACAGTCTGAGAAGATTTCTAGATTTATTTTTTTTTTTAATTTAAAGATTACAGCTCTATTATGGACAAGAAACTCAAGTGATTGGTGCTGGTCCTAAATATGGAGATTGCTTTGCTTTTTGCTGATGGTTCTAGAACGTTTGGGGGGAAAAAAAATTAAATGAATAAACAATAATGAAATAGTGCGAAGGGGATGAATTACCTCACAAACATCCGTACATTTATGCACCTCCGGCTGCATGAGAAAGAGAAAAGTTCCCTATTTCCATATATATATATATTTTTTTTTTTTGGCTGAAGGGAGGGAAAGAAGGGAGCAGGAATCATTTGAAGCTTTGCCCTCCCGGCGGATGGACCCCTTTTGCAAATCCCTTTCTCCTGGCCGCCCTCCCTCGCTCCCCCGAGCACACAGCCCGGCGCAGTTAACCTTGGAGCGGCGCCGGGGAGGGAAGGGTTAATGAAACCCAGCTCTTTACGACCTCCAGGGTCAGACTCTTCCTATCTGCAATCTAAGGAATTAGGTAAGGAGGTTATAAGATTATAGTGAAAGGAGTTATAGGCCCTCGTAGCCTCACACCTGAACATATTGGGCTAATCCACTGGGATTCCTAAAAATCGCTTCAGCTCTGGAAAACTGTTAATTAGGCTGAGTCTGTCCCGAGGTTTCCTGTTGCATTCGAGACCCAGCCGAGCTGCCTGCACTCCACAGGCTCACATCAAACGCTCTGAGCCTGCCTATACTTTTTGTCCCTTCTCCACAACTGAAATCAGCATCAGCCCCTGATTTCGGGCTAAAAAACAAAAAAAAACAAAAAGCAAAGCTGGGGGAGAATTCAGCCCGAGAGACGAACAAAAGTCAACCCCCTCCAGTCCCTGAGCCCTGGGTGCCCGGCAGGCTATTTGCAGCTGTTTCTAACTTCAGTGTTTGTTTACAGTAGCAAAATTAGCACTTGGAGGAGAAGTGAAAAGCTGTTTTCACATCAGTTTTACTCCTCGGTTTCTAGCTTGAGATGCCTTTCCTCTCTCCCAGCAATCAGCATCATTTAAAGTGCGGTTCAAACTTTCTCTCGCTGCTTTGACTCAGTTCTCTGCAGTCGCATCCTATTTTCTGCTAAAGAAAAATACGCGGAGAGAAGGTAGCATGTGCACACGGGCCAAACATCACGGATTCGAGGCAAAAAAAGAAAAATCATAATCTCGAGCATCCCCACAGAACATATTTCAACGTCGCATGGCAGAGCCCTGCCCTACTCCCAGCTCTCTGCCCTTTGGCACTCAGATATTTGCTTGTCTCCAGCAAAGTTTTCTTTAATCCGCCGAGACACCCCAGGGCTGTACCTGAGCCACGGCTAAATTGCTCCCTACGACCGACAAAATCCTGCAGCAGCAACTCCCCAACTTCAATACTTAAAGCAAGGGCTGGTTTTAGCCATTTTGTCATTTGCAGAAATGCTGAAAATTTTATTTTTCTAATTTTTTTTTTTTTATGCCACTTGTGGTCACCCTCGAATGGCAGTAATCTGTAGATTACATATTACGAGCCTTGTCATTACGTGGATAAAATGAGGTGGTTAAACGCTAAAATCCATTTTACTCACCACATTTGCTTGTGGGGAGGGAGGGGGGCGGGAAGGAGAGGGGAGGACAAAGTTGTAGGATTGTAGGAGAAGGATTTAAACCCTCGGATGAGAGCTGGATGTGCTGCCAGAGCCTCTCTGCCTGCTGGGTACACAGGCTGGGGACCCTCAACTTCACCTCCAAGGCAGGCGCCCGATCACTCCAGCCCTCTCCCTCGCTCCTGAGCCTTTTGTCCCCATTTTCGTGGTATCTCAGCTTTGCTCCACAGAGGCGACTTTTCTCTGCCTCTCCTGGATTTGCTCTGTAGCATTTCTAGGCTTCTACTCTCCAGCTCTCCCCCCGTTTGCCTCTTTCATCTGTGTCCCTGATCCCTCTCCAGCTGATGTGATTCTTTAGAAATGTGGGTCTTATCCCGTCCCTACCTTTGCCGGCTCTGATTAGATATTATTTTTTCATTGGCTCTGCTACAATGGGTTCCTCCCTTTAATCTCTCGGTATATTTTCCCCCTCCCGGTATAACCAAATCCATGAAATTCACAGCCTCTCTCTTTGACACGACTGGTTCGTCTAATCACTCCATATCGATTTCCCTAACTCTTTTCATCCAGCTGAAGACACATTTTAAAACACTCCAAGCCAGAGTGTGCTCTTTGCTTTATACACACTAATAAAATGATTTACCCTTCTCTCTCTGCTCTCCTCACAGGAGAAAATCGTTCAAGTCGCGGCTATTTGTGTGTGATCAGTAAATATTTAGTGTGGCGACATCCTCAGCTCCTCTGCTGATCAATACGCAGCCCAACAGGAGGTGGACTATTGTCCGGGTAGTGACTTGCTGAGATCTCCTTTAGATGAATTCTTTGCCCCCAGTACCGTCTGTTATGATTTATCCTCGAAGGTGACCAATAAAGAAAACCTGAGTCTTTAAAAACCTCTGTTTCTAACCTGTTTACCGTGCCATTAAAGCACCTAAGCAAGGAATGGCTTGTTCATCCCCGTCTCCCACATCCCTGGGATGGGCTGACACACGCAGGGCGCTGCTGGAAAATGGGGATTAAAGCGGGCAGCCCCCGAATGCTGGCTCTGCATCCCTGAATCCCTCGATCCCCTTCTGCCCGAGCCCTCCAGCAGCAGCCCGGCCGCTCTCTGCGGTGTCACGGCGAGAGGACGATTCCCCGCCCGCACCCTGCAGCACCTTCGGCCGCAGGGCTCGCTGCCACAGCCCAGCCTCAGCGGTGCCAGCGATGTGCCAGGGATGGATGGAGGGCACCCAGCAACTTCCAGCCCGCCTCCCGCCTCCTCCTCACCGCATCCCGCGGCTCTGCCTGCCCCAGCACCAGGCTGAGCCAGGGCTGCTGGGGGTTCAGTGGGGTTTTTTTGTTTGTTTGTTTGTCTGGGTCTTTTTTGTTTGGGGTGGTGTTTTTGAACGACATGGAAAAGCTGCAGTGAAGAAAAATAATAGTAATAATAATGGAAATGGAGAAGAGCTTCAAGCCCGTTTCCTGTGGTTAACCGTAACGAGAGCTTTCCCAGAGTGATAAAATGGGCATCAAGAGAAGTTCACGTGTGTATGTGTGTGTTTTATATCCTGATCTGCTATTTCACTCCTGGGAAAGCCAATGCCACCCCTTGCAATTACCCCAGGACGGGGCTGTGCCCGCTGAGATGCCCGGGACAGCAGTGCCTGCTGTGTGATGCAGGCTGGGTGCCCCACACAATGGCCACACAGTGATATCTGCATCGTCCCTGTGTGCTCACACACAGCATGTCCTGCAGCCCACAGAGGTGCCCAGATATTTACTTTATTCCCGTGCGTGTGCATTTGCACCACAGCTCTAGGTCGAAAGCGTTTATCTCTGCAAATGGACATTGCCTGCACAGGCGCTGCATAAATCCGGGGCTGTGTCTTACAGATGTGCGACTGTTATTCAAATGTAAAACCAGCTACATCCACCTGTTAACTTTGTTTAGAAACCACTTTCACTAATGGCTTTTCTCTAACTTATTCAGCCCGTTACTCGAGTATAGGAGGCAATGGAGGGGAAAAATCCATATGAAACCCTGCTCACAGCCTCTCTTCGAGAGGACACTTTCCACACCTTGCCTAGACAGGGCTCCTATAGAGCGCTTATCTCTCGAATATATCTTTATACTAATGCATACTTAATTGGTCTGTCTTGACTGTCCATATAAAACAATTTAATTAGGGTGCTTTCTGCTTTGGAAAGAAAGAAAAAAAAAAATCTGCCCAGCATTTATTGTATTTAGCACCAATACAGGCAGAAAATGTTGCACAAGTTTTTGGTTGAAAGAGCACCTATGTGTCCATTGAAGGGCGTTGATCCGAAAAGACAGAGAGGACAAGTAAAATCGATTTGAAGCAACCCTCTCTGTCCCTTTCACACCATTCAGACACTCCATTCCTTCTAAGACAAAGACCCAGCGCCTTGGGAATGCTGGCAAGGAGGGAGGGGGGGAGAGAGAGTGGGGGGGAGAGGAGGAAAAAAGGAAAAAAAGAGGGGGGGAGAAAAAAAAAAAGGAAAAAAGCTTCAATCCCCCCAAGCGAAAGGGAGAGCTCTGAAATTCCTTCATATTGCTGTTATTTACCCCCGAAGATATGTTCAACTCCAGGATTTTCTTCAATTCGGCGTCTAACACTGCTGCTGCGAGGAATGTCCCTGGAAGGGGAGGAGGTAATTATGGCTATTAGTGCTGCGAGCCCAGCCGCAACCTTGGTCACTCGCAGGCTTTTAGGGTTAAAATAGCCCTCACCTCTGACCCCTGCGGAGCAAAGTTGTAGCTATTGCCACAAGTTGGGCCAAAGTTTTCAAATCCAGGGCTGGGCAACACCGGAGGGGGCAAACTTCTCCCTGGAATTATTTTTGGTTGGGATTTAAATCATCTTTAGTCTATTTAATTGCCTTTCCCTCCTCCTTTGGCCAAATAATCCCTTTCGGGGAGGTGGAGGGGATTTCAAAATGCCCTGCTCTCACTACCTTTCCCACTGCTCTTTCCTTTTAGGTTTAATTTGGCAGATTGTTTTCAAGCATGAAAATGGTTATCATCAAACTGAATTACTGGGTCAGCTTTTCATCCAGAGATCTCAAGAATAAAAGAGGGGGAGAGGTGGGGGTCGGGCAGGGGTGTCCCTCCTTTAGGCTTTCCCCGCCATGACCCGTTCATCTTTATTTAAAAAAAAAAAAAAAAAAAAAAAAAAAAAAAAAAAAAAAAAAAAAAAAAGAGCATTTGGGAAAATGAAGAAAGGACAGAAAGCTTGGATTTGTCTCCTGTGTTTTCTGCACACCTTCACGATCCTCCTCTGCAAGGGGGGATTTTGGAAGGGGGGCAGGGGGCTGCTCAAATTGAGGAGGGGAGGGAGCCCACAGATGCAAGCACCCCTCTGGCAATAATAAAAATTCATTCAAGTGGGCTATGTCTCCATCTTCCATGTACTGATTAGACTTAACAAGAGTGGAAACTTGTGTAGACCATATTTATGGTATTAACAAGCAGTTAAAAGATTTATCCTTCTTCTGATCAATATTGTTCGTGGCCGGTCCTTCCCCCCCACCCCCGGGCCCTCCCCGAAGGCTGCAATGACAATCGCCTTCATACTTTTTCATCACCGATCGAGGTGGCAAAACCCTTTTGTAATTTTCATTAGCCCAGTAAACATGCAATTAACATGCAGCACTGTGGTTAACTTAATTCCTGTTTTAAGGCAAGGACAAGCAAGAAATGGAAGAGCGTTTGTTCCATTTGTCAAGTATGACACACTCCCTACCCTAACAGTTTCTTAAAATAAAAGCTCGGCTCCCCACCACCACGACCACCACCCCTCTTTCCAGAAACCCCCCACACTGATACACACACACACACAAAAAGGAGCAGGAATCCATTAGTTGGAGAGTATTCTCCTGCCAAAGGCGGTATAATGTATTCCGAATTTTCCCAAGCCCTCACTGTACCGGGGTCCCGTCCCCCCCACTCCCCCCTCCCATCCCGGGGAAGGGGGCTGCCTCGCTGATATTTCTCGTGGGTGAAAGATTCAGCCTTTTCCTTAACCGTATTTTTTTTTTTTTTAATAAAATAAAAACTAAACGTGCTTCCCATGACTAAAAGTTGCCATGTTTGTGAAGGGGGTGGGGAAAAATGTCTCCAAGGGTTTCAATTAGCAACAAATGATTATTGCAACGGATTTTTGGTAATGAAAAAATGTGGAGTACCTCTTTCGAGCTGGGATCTCAGGGGCAGTGAGAGAGAGAGAGAGAGAGAGGGGGAGAGGGAGAGGAGAGAGAGAGAAAGAGATTGCTGATTAGCTCGGATTCTTTCCCAACTTGCTTTAGCGTGTGCTTGCGTTCCCTGCCGACCCTACACAGGACACTATATATTTTTTCCCCTTCGGTGCATGTGTTGATAGTCCAGCCTGTAGTTGTTTGCGGTTGGCTTTTTTTTTCCTTTTCGTTTTTTTTTTTTTTTCCTTCCTCCCCCTCCTCCATTTAATTAAAATTCTGTAGCTGGTTAAAAAAAAAAAAAAAAAAAAAAAAAAAAAAAAAAAAAAAAAAAGTTGAAGGAA